CCCTCAGCCAGGGTCAACCCACCACAGAAGCTCAGTCGTGGCAGGCAGTTTAATGACAGTGCCTCTTACCAAGAGAGGATTCTGATCAAACAGCTCTCTACCAGCTGCCTCTGCACACGCCAAAACACAACAGAGATGGGTTGGGGTGGAAATCAGTGACAATTTTATTCAGAAAGAGCCTAACAGTGAATGAAGAAGGCGGCCTGGGCCTTATTCAATTTCCTGAGCTTGAATCCTCTCAAAAAACCTGACCATCACATATTTCAGAAGTGAGATCAGCTACTAGAGTCAGCTTTTCATATTTGCTTATTTTTTAAATTACAGCAGAAAGAGAGTCATATTTCCTCTACAGTCCCTTCCAGCAAGACTGGCAATTTTAACTAGGACTTAAGCAAATAAATCACATTCTTAAAGGTTTGATCTATACAATGTCTAACCAGTCCAAGGCCTAGCTAAACCGTAAAGAATATGATGCGCAGCACGCTTTTACAGACATCTGTCCTTTTGTTTTCATAAGGAGGTAGGATATATCAAGCATTTCTAAGTAATCCCTAAAGATAATTGGTTTGTATGTTATGCACTTGAATGATTTTCTCAAGGTTCATCATTTCATATAACTAAAAATCAGCATCCATACATATGTGCACAATTTAGTTAAAGTTGTTCTACACCTGTGCATGCATAGTAAAGATTTTTATGCTTAAAAGGTATTTTATGTAGTATTCACAGAGATATACTATAACAATAACCTTACTTTGTTAAATCAAATAAGATTACTGTCATGTCCCAGGCTGATTCTATGGTCCATAGAGAGAAAACAGCCTCCTCAGAGAACAATTCAAAGCAAGGAGCTATTTTGCCCCAAATTATCCTCTGGAGGATGCTATCATGATCCAAAGGCTAAAATTAAGACTTTATTAATACTCCAGCAAATATCAAAAGCCAGATTTTATTGAGAATGCTGACAAATAAAATATACAGACTTTGGACATGTCAGTTCAAATTGCATGGAAAAAAATAAATTCCTAAAACCAATCTAGAATTTGACCCCTTATTATGACCACCTCAACCACTTTTTATTTATTCATTCATTTGAGGAAGCCATAACAGAGGAAGTGGTAATACCACCCTCTAATAGAAAAAGCATTGCTGGTTGGAGTACTTACCTAGAAATCAGAAGTTCTAGGTTCAATGCCTCCTCAGCGCAAGGACTATTCAAAGTCCACAGCTACTAACTTTCAAAAGAGTGCCCTACTTATACGCTAGGCTAATCTGGGATATAAGCAATCTGGAAACTCCTGCTAAACTGTTTGGGATGTGCTCAAAGGAGACAGTCACAACCACTCCTGCAGCACACAGCTTTAAGCTGTAGAGATCTAAGCCTAAACAAATGATCCAAAGTCCTTTGAAAAGTAACACAGATGTTAAAAGCACATTATGCAAGTAATTAATTAATATCAGGAATGGATGATGCTGTTACATACCTTTCTTTCATTAACTGATAAAGATTTTCCTTCATGTATTCGAACACAAAATACAGATGATCATTTTCCCTGATAACTTCTTTCAGCTTTACTACATTGGCATGGTTTAATTTCTTCAAAGACTAGAAAGAGAAAATACAAACAGGATCTTACAAGGGCCTTACTCTAATGAAAAAAACTATTTCACTGATGCAGAAGACTTGGCTTCAAAAAATTCTTCAAATAATCAGACAGCTCTGAGAACAAAGACCAGGTCTCCAAGTATTACCAGATACATATACAGTATACATATCAACTAATGTGCCGGTCATTCAAAAGCCAGCTACCTGGCATCACAACAGGCACCAAAACAATTGCATTTTCTCTGTAAGTAACTTCCTACTGGCACAATTCACACTCTTCTTGTACTTGCACTGGCAATACTCAGGTTACACTCAGAACTAAATATAACCCTCCAACTTCTTCCTTGGTATTGTGGATTAAACCTGGTGGGCAACTGAGCTCGCTTATCCCCCACAGTGGGATAGGGGAGAGAATCAGAAGGGCAGAAAAGGAGAAAACTTGTGGGTTGAGATAAAGACAGTTCAATAGGTAAAGCAAAAGCCAAGTGTGCAAGCAAAACAAAACAAGGAATTCATTCACTGCTTCCCATCAGCAGGCAGGTGTTCAGTCATCTCCAGGAAAGCAGGGCTCCATCATGCGTAATGGTTGCTTGGGAAGACAAATGCCATCACTCTCAATGTCTCCCTTTCCTCCTCCTTCCCCCAGCTTTTACTGCTGAGTGCAATGTCGAATGGAATATTCCTTCAGTCAATTGGGGTCAACTGTCCTGGCTGTGTCCCCTCCCAGCTTCTTGCCCAGCCTCAGCCTACTCACTGGTGGGGAAGCATCAGAAACAGAGAAGGTTTGAGGCTGTGCAAGCACTGCTTAGCAATAAACTAAAACATCCCTGTGCTATCAGCACTGTTTTGGGAACAAATCCAAAACACAGACCCATACAAGCTATTATGAAGAAAGTGAACTCTATTCCAGCCAAAACCAGCATACTTGGGTCTTCATTCTCCCTTCTTTTTAGATTTTCAGTGTATTCTACATTCATTCTTACTGTAGCAACACAGTACCAGTAAGTGGTACTGTAAGAAAAGCGACGTAGGTTTTCTACATGTTTGCAACAGTGACAGCAAGGACTAGAAATTAAGGGAGGTCCTTAGAACATACCCTAAAGCTTTGCTGGTGTCAGAATTTCATGCTAAATGTGTGGCCCCAAACAGCTGCCCAGAAACAACTGCATGTACAAAGGTTACTGGGGTGCAAATGACACGCGTTCTCAAGCTCTGAAAAACAAACACCAATGCACTCCAGGTTTTGGGATAGGTAAGTTCGCTCTTTCACTCACCATTCACTGCAAGAAGGAAGCAGATCTCTACAGCCAAATTATTTTTTCTAAGACTACAGAATTTTAATAAGACTACAGACACCCCATTCAAATGCAGCGCAAGGAAACAGAACTGTAATGCCATATGCCATGGATCATGTTGGGGTGAGTTTTTTATAAAAGGGGTGGAAAAAATTTGATGTTACCCCAAAATGTGACAGGGATCATCTAACTGAAAGAAACAAGTACCTTAACCTCTCGAAGGTTCATGCATTCCTCCCAGGAATAAAACTTTCTCTTCATCCTACAATAGTAGAGGTAAAAAACCCCACAATTAATATATGGTCAACATCGGCTGATCCTAGACCTGTAAGTCTCATTATATCTTACAATTCAGTTCTTTCATCAAAATATAAGGTGTTGTCTCCTTTGTCAAAAAACTTTACATCTCTAGACAAGGTACACTGTAATAGAATTTAAAAGCATTGCTATTACACAAGATTGCGTTTTTTGTATATATATCTTGCTACAAAAATTTCAGAGCCTTCAACAAGTCAGGGCATGCCATTTTTCTTTCCAGTATACAATGTGGTAGAGTACAGTCTAATTGTAAAAAGAACAAGGGTTACGACAGTTATGAACAACTTAGTCTAAGTTTTGAAACAAATCTAATGAAGATCAAATTAAATCACTTCACTGGGTCTCCAATATTATCATACTCTTCTTGCTCCTCTTCTCTATATTTTGATTTCTCTGTAATTTCAATACCTTTCCCCTCTGAGTTGTACTTCTTCATTTTTCAGTGTCCACTGCTCCCCATGTTTCTCCCTCACTTGCAAGTTGTATCTATTATGCCAACTGCTTTTCAAATTCTTTCCTTTCAAGCTTATAAGCAACTCTGCTCTAACAGAAACAAACTGCATGACAGCTCCATTTTCTCCTAAGCCAGAATATAACTCTGAACATAGTATTTGTGTGTAACGTATGGTCCTATTTGTTCATATGCATTTTGATTATGACTCAGTTCTTTCACACCTAACTCTATGCTTTAGGATCAACAGGACGAAGGCTCGCATGTACATGCACACACACACAAGAGCACAGATTAAACTTACAAAAATACCCAACTGCTTAGAGTCTGGATTTCAGAGGGAGTTGAAGATCTGAGTCTTTGTCAGACTTTATGATAATTCAATATTACTTATTATTGTAGAAAGCTTCCAGTTTGAAATCATCTCTTACAATTATAATCGTTTAAGAATTACAAACCTTTAATTTTGTGAAGGGGTCTAGATTTTGTTGTTGTTGTTTAAGCAGTGTTTTTACAGTTACTGTGTTGTGCATTCAGCCACCAGACTATTTCTGTTCTTAATATTGAATTTGCCTTAATGTGTAAGCTAAGAGAGTACCATCTTCTGGTTTGTTCTGAAATTTTTGAGTTCCTACCATCTTACAAAATTAAAATCAAGGGTGCCTCTGGCAAGGTTTGATACAGGAAAAATACCCTCAGCACAGAGCATGTAGAAAGTTGCTAAAGCCAGCTATTGACTGTTCATACAAAACAGCATTGTACTGAAAGCTCTTTTGACAAGTATGTCCCTGGGTCATGGTCGGTATTTCAGGAAGGTGCCTGCAATGCTTTACAGCTGTCTCTTACCACAACTAGGACAAATAAGCCATTTACAAACTGAGGTCAGTGCTGAAGTGGCAGAGAAAGTCAAGTGGATTTTTCAAGGAATTTTAAGAAAATCTTAAGCTGAAAAGACCAATACATATTAGCATATAAAAATACAGATAATGGAAAATGAGATCCATTGTGTTAATTATCACTGCAGTATTAAAAATACACTGGAAATTAGACCATGAAATATATGTTCCATGTAAGCAGCAGGGAAGGGGCTGCAGATTCCAAAGCAGCATTGCAGACTACTCTTAAATAATACATATAATAATGTTTGACTACACATAGTAACAGAGCACTGTTACAATAAGCCTATGTATCTCACCCTCTTTATCTTCTGCTGGGGCTTTGGAGGATACGAGGAACTTGAGCTTTGCATGCTGCCCCAATAAAACTCCAAATACAAATGTTTTGTGGAATGTGAAGTACTCAAACCAGCATGACCAAGTGATGTGGACCATATAATGAAAAACCTGGACCATCCATTGCTAAATAACAAATGAAAATACTTACTTTTTAATGGCTATTAGCTCTCCAGATTCAATGCTTCTCCCTAGGAGGACAGAGCCGTAGGTCCCATCACCAAGCTGTCTGATAGTTGTGTACCTATTCATGATGAGGATACTTTAGCTGCAAGCGCATTTCAGTCCTTAGTGTTTCTTGTGTTTCTCCTCCGAGTGTAACCAGTTCTTTCTGTGGCAGCATAAATACAGAGCACTCAGGACAGTGTGAACAGTTGCAGGAATCATGTTTTCAAGACTTAGCCTTTGGTCTGAAAGCACAGAACACAATTGGTTTGATTTCTGTACCCTTCTGAGATTGCTTGTTTGCAGATTCCCTGTAAGCTATACACAAACACTTGTCTTGGTCTCTCACCAGAAAGGGCCAGGCTGTATCTGGACATAACTGGGTACATTCCCCAAATCCACTCTTATGCTAAAGCCAGAGGCACTTTACAGCAAGCTTGCAGGCAGTCCTAATGGGAGAAAGACACTACTACTGAAAGCAGAGGATAAAGTCTCATAGCTTGGAGAAAATAGTTTGCTATCAGAAAAATGAAGCATTACAGTAAGATAGGAGGGTATCTGTTCTAGCCAAATTATCAGACATGTAAGTCACCAACTTAGAAGTTGTACTGTCATCAGTTAAACCGATTTCCTGACTTTCCATAAGGTCCTATGCTAGAGATATAGTCATATGTATTCCCTTAGACAGTCTTCAGAGAAAGAATATTATATTCATGTCAGATAAGACCAGATGCATTTCACTACAGTAGGCCTAAGCATGAATCAGTCTCTAGTAGTGGCTACATCAGATTGTCTATTTGACCTTTTGTCCTGACACTGCATAAACAACAGAATGCTGGATAATAAAGCAAAAAAAGCTCTTATTTCTTCATTTAAACTAATTGTTGCTAGCATTTCCTACACTTTAATCTAGAACAAATGTGATCTATTTTATGTATATTAACCATAAATTTGGAATAAAACAGAATTCCCTTGCAATGAGGGTTTGGTCCCGGCCTTGTGTTTTTCTCCAACTCTAAGTGGACAGCAATATTCATGGCTGGTGACTTTTGCCTTCTGTAGCCTGCATTTAAATTACATTTCCACTTTTTTATTTGGTAGCCTTAAATCTCTCCTCCATCATGTCTTATTTCACAAAGCCAAATTATGATTTTAAAAGTAATGGGATTATGTTGCTTGAACTCTGAACTGACATCAGTGCAGAGCCACAATCCTGTAGATGCAAGATGTTGGGAAGATCCTTCATTTTCAGTCTTCTAAGCCTATTAGTCCCACTAATACTGATACAGGAACAAACAAACAAAAATTAGGAAATACGATGTTAATACACCTTTTGCCAATTTTATACATCATATATGAAAAAGAAACAGCATGTCTCTATTTCAGACACTGGGTAGTGTCTCAGACAGGTGGGAGGAATTGCCTCTAGCAGTACCTGTTTCTCTCCACACGCTACTACTACAGAGAATCACGACTAAGTACCTTAGAGACCTAATCCCACATTTCGTACTATGTACCAAGGAACACAGGGCTTGTTTGTAAGAACGGCACTTCAGAGTATCAGTTTCTTTTTGGCTGGTTTTCAGGCTGTGCACCCGCATAGCATAAAGCTATGTTTAGACAATGTTTTGCACCCAGGTTAAAAACCTTTGGCTACTCCAGCTGGTCAATGACCAGGTTGCAACTGAGAACCCTTGGCTCTTTGGCCTTTATTCAAATCCTTGGTGAAAATTTCAAACAACTACAAAGCCTTCCATGGTCTCCTAGTCTGAAAATGTAATATTTATTAGTATCCAAGCGCATAATTTTACACAGTAACTTCCAATCGAAACAGATGGGACTTGTGGATTTTTCAGCACCTACTCCCCTAATGATAGTCCTGAATTTGTAATCATCAATCAGCAATGGCCCTGCTGCCGCTAGCTTGCCATTCACACATCCCTTTCCAGGGGACTGTAACAGCAGAGTAGAGGAGCATTTTTGCCTCATGTTTGATAACGACAGCAAACCAAAAGATGCTTAACACTGCTAGCACATGACATTGCTAGTAATAATCACCAAAGGCTATCATGGATAGATCGTTTGTCTGATGTCTCTTGAATATATGAAGTGGTGAGCATAACTGCCTATTCCTTACTGGGGATACTAATTTAAACCCCTCTCCTTTCCACAGCCATCAATTTTCACAAAACTTGTAAGAAGTTATCATTGTGATTCCAGCTCTGCTGTCAAACGTGACCAAATCAGAAAATGAACTGAAATCTTTCTGAGGCATAAAGCAGGGGCAAAGAACCTAGAGAGGAAAAAAGTCAGAAAATACAGATATCAGTGAGGAATGCATATTGAAAAACATGCCAGGATGCACAGAAGTTAACATGGCTCCTATGGAAGTTCAAATCTACCTGTATGAATGAAAACCCACTGAACAAAACCTAAATAAAGTCTTCTTTGGTTAATTAAATCAGTACCATTTCTTGTAGAGCTTAACAGTGAGGTTGTTTTTAAAAATCTATTTCACTTTGCAAGATTTATGTTCTCTCCTTCTCACCTTCTGCCATGTCTCATCTTCAACTATAGGAATAAACTAAACCTTAGCCTGCAGACTGTTTCACCTAAGTGGAGTCCCACTGAAAAGAGCGTAAGTTTCTGAAAAGCAGTTTGCAGAGCTACAACATATATAATCTAGTCGAGGTTCTAGTCTAGAACTACAATCTAGGCAAATTCACATCGTTTGAGGATGTAAATACAAACTGCAAAACGGTCTCGGAGTAAAGGAGCGTGCTGCCACTCAATAGAAAAAATAAAAGCCTTATTTTCACCATATTATAACACTATATTCAGATGCTACCTCATCGACAAACATTTTCCCCCCACAGAAATCAACCAGTAAAGTCCCTTTAAAAGCACACCTAATTTAATGCATCAAAACTACTTTCTGACTCTAACACAAACTATTTCGCTTACGTATGCTTTAAATAAGTATCCTCTCCCGCTCGAAGGGCTGCAGCGCTGAGAACTGAAAGTGAAACTGCTCACCCCCTGCCAAAGCTGAGAAACGCCAACAGTAAACAACCAGCAAGTGCCTTTTAAAATTTGCTCTGTGCTTTGGCAATAACCTGAACGATGCACTAGTAGGATGCATAGAGACAGGCGTGGTTTAAACCCGCGGGTTTCAATCGGTCTTGTCCCAGCAGCCGCTGTTTACGTCTGTTAGTGAAGGATTTGGGGTGCCCCATGAGCCAAAAACCAAGGCAGGAGCAGTGGAAGGCATCAGCCCCTCGGCAGCCGGACGGCCCGGGGCATTTGTGAGA